AATATAAGGGCTACAGCTGCGAGAGTTGCTACACCTGGCATCTCATTTGTTTTATAGCGTGTACAGGTGAGACACTATACTCCGTTTCTCGGTAAATTGGCAAACATTGTGACCCAATAAGAGCATCGGAGCCAGGCACGTGACAACACTCCACGGTCGAGTCCTCGTTATTGCCACAGCAAGAGCGCCATCTGCGACAAAACATAGTTCTAGGCTTTGTTTTTTCTTCTTCTTTTAGTAGTGTTGCCGTCGGATTCTTCGGACCGCAACACTACACGACACTGAAGAAAGACGAAGACACATGTTACTGATTAGCGACACTTAATATAGATCAACACTTTGAGAAAAACATGGCTTGTGATCGAAGTTCAAACAATCGTAGCCGTGAATCGACCACTTCCGCTCAAAACATCGCCCTAGCATTAGCACCCGCCACAGATTCATGGGCAAATTGAGCATGTGGTTGTAAGACGACAGCCGGTTCTGGCGGGTGGTCCTTGCATTTGGCGCGGTGACACAAACGCTCCTGTGACATGCGTCCATGTGCCTCGCTCCGACATTCTTACTGGGTCGCAGAAGCCGTAGCCTCCACAGTTCACCAAGCTATCGTGAAACAGAATGTAGACTAAGTTGCCTGCGTGCTAATGAAAGTAGCCTTGCCAGCATCATGTATTATGTATGAAACACTGTATACTTCGAGAAAACAAATAAAGCCATTCAACCTTTCCACTGATTGTGTTTGTTCATTAGTAAAACTTGGTTCAGTGAACTTTACATTTCAGCATTAGCATGGACACAACAGGTAAGGTCAATCACAAGTGCTTTAGAGCGGTCCGAACAGTTTCCAAGTGGCTCATGCAAAGCAGCTGACATGGTATTACCCCCAGGAAAGAGACGAGACCTCCTCGACGAATCTACTCAAGGCCCACCAAACTGAATATTAACATTTCTAGGAAATTGGAATCAACCAAACAATTCCATGGAAAGCTACACCACAAACAGCATTGGTGTGAGGGTGAGCCCTATCTGCAGCGACAATACTGAAGCCTCGCATGCCACCATTACTAACACATGCAAGTAGTCAATCGGCGCCTGGCATACTTGGGCATTGATGAAACAAGGAAAGATGATCAATGAGTGGACTAGGAATGTGGATCCAAATGGGAATGTCTTCACAATCGCTGTATGACCACCATCTGTTGGTGTGTTTCTGGATGTCAACAGCCCATCTGGGACCTAGAAATGACAAATGATGTTAGAAAGTTTGTCACTTATACACTGGCTTTTGCTTGACCCAGTCTGCTGAGCGAACAAAAATATGTACATGTTAGTCATTGTTTACTCCCGTGTCCATTCCATGGGGCGCTCGTTAGCTAGGCTTGGATAGTGCGCGATCTCCGAATTTTTATCTTGGTGTGGGAACGAAAAAAAAGACAAGCGACACGCAAAAACACGTCAGACACTGACAGCGTCGATGTGGTTCCAAGATACACTGCGCAACACATTTCGCAGAAAGGCGGCATCGGTACTTCGTCGGCAATTCACTCATACTGGCTAATGTGAAACGGCAAATTTGTACTGTCCGAGTTGGTTCACTGTATTACACGTAACAGCCATTCATATTTCATTCCTGAAAGAAAAAACGATCGCGTTTTTGCGGCAAGTTTTGAGCTCTGTGCTTTTCTACAGTGCCATGATTACAACCGTAGGCTGCAACTACTATACCAAATACGATGTATGACTATACTGCGTCTCACCTAAATGCGAACGAAGCGAAAATTACAAACGCGAGAATCTGATCAGCGCTTGTACTGCAAGATCGCACATGCATGGCAGCTATGATCAAAGCTCGGGATTCGCCCATGTAGATTTAACTTCGACCGCATTTAAAATGAAACGGAACATAGCTTATACGGCCTCCGTGCAGCTTCGAGTCGAAATGACGAGTGTGTATATTCCTAAGTATCACCTGCGAAGATAGGCTTCGGAGGATCGCGAAAACGCTACATTCTCGGCCGTTTTTCGATTAATAGCGCCCATCGACTCCGCCACATAAGATTTATAAAGACCTGCTAGAAGGCAAAATCCGTTGTGTTCGTAAAGGAAGAACAAGATAAAAGGCAACTTACCGGTACAATCGGGCGGCGGTCTCGTAGTGACCGGCGCAACCGGCGTTTCAATCGCGAGGCTAGGCAAGCGCCTTCTCTTTGGTGCTCTTCGTCGTCTTCATCTTGGAATCTTCGAAATGCCTCTAGCAGACGACGGAGGAATCGTAAGGGGCACAAAGCTGCTCGATCTTGTGGACTCGGCAAATTTTAACCGGGCTACAATAAATAAAAGACTCGCGATCGCCGCTACAACACGGCCGCCATGGCCGACGCCGATGTTTGTTTACCCCCCGGCCTCCCCCGACATGTGCGAGGGCGGAGCTTAGTCGGAATCGTCATCAACCTCCTCTCCCGCCTTCGCGCCTCCTTTCTCATGCGCAGAAGACGAAAATGAGCCCACTTGCGAGGCGTATTAACTACAGGTTGCAGTTGCCAACGTTTGTGGATAAATGTTCGTAGCGACTGCATTCTCGCATTCCCACGCATCACTCGGAACAGAAAGGCACTAGTTTCGGTTTGAAGTCGGTACCTTTTCTATAACATAGATGGCGACAGCATCAGTCTTCTGCACTCGGTGCGTTTGGCGAGTTCGTTTGAGTCCAGTTTTCCATGCAACACTCAGTGAGTGCGATGCATTCTGGGAGAGAACTCAAACGGTGCCAGTGCGTGTGAGACAAACTCGCTATTTAAGTTCTAAGATATTCCAGGAAGACTGTTTTAAGAAATGGATCTTCTTCAAAACTTGTCATCTGGAGCACAACTGACTCATTTTATTGCAGAGGGGTAAGATGTATGGCTGCAACACATTGTCGCAGCCATACAAAAAGAAAGGAAAAGGAGGGGAAACAACAACCAAAGGAGCCTGACATGACCACACCTTAAAAAAGCACCTCACAAGAGCTTTTTACAGAAAATTAAACTAGAGAAAGAATTCAAAAAGAAATGTTAGGTGGATGAATGCATAAACTATTTTTAAATGTAATATGTTGCTAATTATGAAATTATAAAATAATTGTAACCCAGAGAGTTCACAAGCGTAAACTAGCTTGCAAACTATATGTTTAGGACTTTTTTGATGACATAGACCAATGGTTCTCAACCATCGATGTTTCGCATACCCCTTGTGGATCGGCGGAGATGATGGAGGACCCCGTTCGTGGTGAGTGGAGGAGGAACGTATAAGCTAAATGCAATAATGACATAGTAGATGGATTTAACTAAGGGCTAGTGTGAATTAGACTTCTCTTATTGACATGCACACGATAAAACAAGCCCGAAAATGGAAAAAGTTCCTTCTCGATCTGAAAAAATGCAACTTTTATTGCCAGGCTTGACTGATGAGGCAGGGCTTCGCGGACCCCTAGAATACCTTCGCGGACCCCCATTTGAGAACCACTGATATAGACCATTTTTTTTTTTTGTTGGATTTTATGTTAAGGGAAATTTCTTCGTGAGTTCTTTTTGTTGTAATTTTCTGAGAAGTGTGAACTTTTTTCTAGTGTGATTGCTTTGTGCGATTTATTTATGACTTTCCCGCGATGAGTTCAACATTTTTCATTTTCTATCATCTGTGAAAATGTATGATTTGTATCTCTTTAACTTTTATATTGTGTGCTACCACATAAAAACTGCAAGGTGTTTCTGAAGCAGAAAGAAATTGAAGAATTATTATTATTTTAATTTTAATTAAAGCGTATAGAAAATTTGGAATATTCACACAGGACAGAAGACTAATGATAATGGTAGATCTAATGACAACAGTATGCAATAGTTATGACACAAGACACAATGCATGACATACATGAGAATGCAAAGATATTTTATCATGGTTACACGGAGATGATGTGGGAAACGTGTACAAATAGTAATGCTGGCGATGGCATTGTACAATAAATAATATTGTTGCACGCTTACATAGCCGAATCGGCAGTGCCTGGTCTCAACTCGCAGGCGGCTCGGGTTCGATTCCCGGCACAGCATGTTATCTCTTTTTGTAAGTAGAAGATTCAAGAAGGTTGGAAAATCGTCTAGGTTGTTCATGTTAAAATGTATGCTAGTTTGAGAAGGATCAAGGCAGAATGTTCTAGACTCCCAGGAAAGGCTTAAAAGAAGCTGTGCCGAATCGTGTGGAGGAGTCCTTCGCCTGCGCTTTGTCCTGCCGTTACGCCGCCATCGATTCCTGTTGTCTTCCACTCACTCTATTTTGTTTAAGTGCGGGTTCACCCTATCAAACATTTTGTTTGCTTCAGTGTTTCATCACCTCACGAACTGTCATTTTGTGACAGTATGGCGAGAGATCCCTTGTTTCGACGTTGTTTTTCCTTATTATTTCTGATATCTCAGTTTGCGCTTTTGATTTGCGTTTCAGCACTTTTTTTTTCCTTTTTTTATGCAAACTATTTTTCGCATTTGTAACAGCAGGCCGGGCGTCACTGGAAAGACCACGACCATTTGCGGGGATTTGGAGACTCCTGCAATATGTGCAATAGCAAGCTTGAGAACCTCTTGAATAAGGAGAAAATTTTCTGGGCTTTTGCAGAGTCTGTTGGGTAATGCCCCAGTTACGTTTTCTTGACCTCATTCTTTGTTGCAACGTCGTGTGTGTTTCTATTCTACATATTCTGTCTGTCTGTAGTGAACCGGGTCAACTGTGATTTGATAAGCTTGACCTCGTCTGTTTTGCATTTGCCCGTACCCTTTTTCACTCTCGGGTCTTTGTTACTCAAACTAAACTCTCTCGCAGTATTGCATTGCTTCAAACACCTGTTTGTGTGGACCTTCCATTTCTGCATAAAAACCTCGCTACGCTATCTTTCTTGGCGTCTGACAGTCGCCACTTTGGAAGTGGCGTCTGCTCGGTTTCTCACTCCATCTGCTTTCTCTTGCTGCCAGGTGCTCTCCAAGGCCCAGATTGTGAAGGAGCAGGCCATCCAGCAGTGCAAGGACGAAGTCACAATTCAGGTCGCTGTCTGCTTTCCTCACAAACCCTCCTCCTTTGTGTGTTGTGTGCGTCGCATGTCTGCCTTGTTTGTGACCGCACTGTGTGCAAACAAAACCTGTGCTTACTTCTTCACAGTGTGGGCAGAGACGAGTTGATTTCAGCATTTCATGTTTTATTTTCTCTGCATGACTTACAATAAATTAAAAAGTTTCTTTGTTTTGCAATTAAGCAGTTTCATGATAAAAAAAATGTTCCCCTTTTTTTTTCTTTTCAGTCATCACTATTTGGCATTTCTCAGAATTTTATCAGTTGTTTTTTCTATATAGTAAAACCATGGATTTAGTTGGCCTCGCAGTTTGTCAGTATGCAGGTATATGGACATTCCAGATTGTATCTTGAGACAGACCTAACTCTTCTGACTCCTACTTAGAAAATTTTATTTAGGCTACTAGTAGGTTCAAGTTAGAACAAAAAGAGCACCACTGCTTGTTGTCAGCAGCATTGTGAACTCTTTTTTTTTTTTTTTTGCTTGCGTTTTTTTACAGGCGGTGCTGGGTCGGCACCCCTTTGTGGTTCCCTGCATGCACCACTGGCAGACGCGGAAGCAGCTCTTCATAGGTAAGGCATGCATCTTTTTCTTCGCTCACCGGAAAATGCTCACCTTTCGAACTAAAGTGAAAGACAGAAGAATGTTCCTGACGATACTAAAGCTTCGCTCCACCTTGCAAAAGGTGCCTTTGGAGGTAATTTCAAAATGTATGATATCCTAAAAGCTTTGACGAACTGAAGATCATTCCAGTAAAATATATTGTGATAGTGTAATCCATAACAACATTTCTGATTTGAAAAAAGAACTTCCTGGCTCTGCATTGAAAAACTGTTGTGGTAATATATCGCATTTGTGTCTTGCCGAGAAGCACCGTATGCCGTAGGGCTTTATGTCGAACTGGTTTACCTGCCAATCAATCATAGATGCATTTCTCCTCTGTCTTGATCACTATAACAAATTTTGTCAAAGTGAGTTGTGATGTACCTTCATCTCGTACTTTCATCTCGAGCCTTGTACGGACCTCAAACAGTTCTTGTACTGCGTTCCCAGATTATTTGTATAATTTCACTGTTAGTGTTCTTTTTCATGAAGGTTGTTGCACGTCTTCCTCTTTAGTTCCTCTTGAGCTCTATACTATCATCCTGCGAAATAACGGATAAGCTAGCACAAATTTTACTTGAGTCAGCGACTGATTTGGCCGGATAAGCACCCATGTCCAGATTAATCCAGTTTTCAGTGAAAGTGTGATGGGCCCTCCCCCGGTATTTAACTATAATTGTTATAGGAATCTTGACAGTGAGGCTGTATCTAAACAGTATCCACTACCTAAAGATATGGTTCTTTCCCTGTTTAGTTTGTCTCGTAAAGGCACCTAATTTGTTTTTAACCCAACTTGTGCAAACAAAAAATTATTCCTCTTTAACGCTTCACAAACCTGAGGTGAAACACCTCAGGTTTGTCAACTAGTTATCCATGAGAAACATTGTTTTATGGTCTCTTTAATAACTAGTTCAGTGGCTAATACTTTTAAAATTCATTGAAAGGAAAACAAAAGAAACAGCAGTATTTTTTTTTGTCTCAGTTTCATTTGACTGATGTGAGAGACACCTTTTAAAATTTTCTTGGGAGATTATTGAGTGAGAAAACTCGTTGTGCGTGCCAATGTTCCCGCAGTCACGGAGTACGTCCCCCACGGGGAGCTGCGTCTTGCCTGGAAGGCGCTGGGCGGTTTCTCCGAGAAACTTGTGCGGCTGCTCATCGCGGAGCTGGCTCTAGTATTGGGTGAGTGGTCCCACCCCTCCCCAGTTAGGCATCCTTTTTTCTCACGGCAAAGGACAAAGAGAATACCTGCAAGCATGATATGTCAACATTTTGTTTCCTGACATGTTGGAATACTACATGTGCACATCATGTGCAGGCAAATAGGGCACCTCTAAATTTTCCCCGGCCAATTTGCCTCGTAAACTGTAATTGACGAGGGGTTGAAAACCCCTCGGTGTTAAAAGTCTTCTCAAAGGAAGAAGGTTCTTTTTTGTGTTTTTTTTACTCGCAAAATCAATTGCAACAGTCCAAATATAAAACATTGAAACATTGTTTATTTTCCATCACGAGCAAGCAGGGTACCGAGGGAAAAAGCCTCTTCTATGCAGCTTGTCGAGCCTTCGGTACCCCTACAAGGCAAACGACAACAACCTGAGACTAAAAACTAAAAAAAATATCAACAATCGGAAAGCACATCAAAGTACAGACCTTAAATCGCGCGCGACATACAAGTTTGAGTTAGTTGTGCTTTCCTCAGTTTTTCTTATTGATGGCGTACTACGGTGTCAGAGTGATATCTCTTTTTATTGGCCACTTGTTCCGTGTTGTAGACTTCCTGCACTGCGCCGGAGTCATCTACAGGGACCTCAAGGTGAGACCTCGGTTTCTAACATTTTCTTTCCCAGTGTATTCAAGTTGAATAGAACAAGTGCATTTCTGAAACTAGATAGAGTTGGCAATTGTTCTCAGAGTACCGCACTCAGTATCGTTTGCAGAGAAAGAAAGTAGTTTGCCCATTATTTACTTGTGTCCAAATGGGTGCTGTCATCTCTGCATGGCCACCAGTAAACCTTGCGACCTTGCATTTAGTACCTCGGTCGGGCTTAAAGGTTGCACTTGACAATGTATGTTCAGACGATGAGACATGTAGCTTCGAGAATATTTTAATAATAAGTTTGTGGACTCTCTTAGAGGTTGATCAAGAGGTGCACCCAGGTTACTTAGGAGTTTTTTCACAATATTAATTTTTCCTTTTATTTATCATTATTGCCAACCCATGCTCTGGTTGTTATAAGAGCAACAGTTGTAAAATATGAGTGAACACCAACACGTGACACGATTAGTTGTGCATGCAAACGTTTGCGATTAAAGAAATTTAGTTCCTAAGGTAAAAATTGCAAACTGCCCAACATTGAAGATCTTGGGCGACACAGCCTGCAGAGAATGATTTAAACAATGCACATAGTACTCTATACAAATATAAAACATTGTTGCATAGAGATGCAACAAGTCCAAAAAGCTGCCAAGAACGCAGAGTGAACTGATAAACAAGGAAATTCTAACAACCTAGAACTGGAATCAGTGAAACGATTATAGTTTCATTTCATTCTGGTGTCACTGCTTTTCAGTTGCAGTGCCTCTGCCTTTTCTCTCTGGCTGACTCCACAAATTTATTCTGTTTCAGATGGAAAATGTGCTTCTAGATGAGGATGGTGAGTGGGTTTTGTCCAGTTCAGCATTTCAGTGCACATGCTAGGATTCCTTTTAGTTATCCTTATGAACATTAGTGGGGCTATCACTTGTCCTCGTGGGGATTTCACACTTAAGACGCTACACTCTTACCGTGTGTGTGCCGTGCTTGGCATCTAATAGCAGTGTGCAGAGTGTTTTTCACTCTGTCAGATTTATTAGGAAACTAAAGGCCCGTTCACACTCTTGCGACCAAGTACGGCTGAGAGAGACGAGATCTCTTAAAACTTCTTAAATGTTTTTGGAATGAGGGAACACACTGGTATTGTGGCGCCATCTATGCGGTGACCCTGGAACTGCATTTTACAAGAGCGAAGGTTTTGCAGGGTTTCCGAGGTCAAATGTGCGTAATAAACATAGAAAGGCTCGTTTATAACATTGACAAAAGTTTTTCGAGCCAAAAAAGAAAGGATAATGCGCGAGAAATAAAAAAAAATATGCCGGACCGCCGAGTTTACACCACTCCCAATAGATGGCGCCAGTGTGTTCTCTGGTTTAAGAAGTTTTAAGGAACCTAGGTTTAAGAGGTCGCAAGAGTGTGAACGGGCCTTTAGATAGTTACAGAAGACTGCTGATACAACGGTGGGGGGTGGCTTGCACGACATGGTCTACTGCACACTGCCGTACGGGGTTTGTGCAACTATGGTGCAGTTTACTACCGTATCACTTGCTACAAGTGGCCTTCCCTGTGGCTCTGCTGCAGTGCGAGCAGAAGTTGGATTTGTTTGTTGATGAGCAATTGCTCCCACCGACCAGGGCATGTGCAGCTGATTGACTTTGGGTTGGCTCGCTGGCTCAGCTATTGCGGAAGGGCGCACACCGTCTGCGGGACCATGCAGTTTATGGGTGAGCTCACTCGGTTCACTTCATGCTATTGCATCATTATGTGGTAATGACACTAACGAACTATGTGTTACCAGTCGAGAAATTCATTGTTCATATCTGTAACTACAGTAATACCTCGTTAAAAACCGGGGAAAAATTCGAGATAAGCGAAATTTCGAGATAAGCAAAGTACCGAAATTTTTTACCTCTGATCACGCGATGTTCTAAATAAAACTTTTAACAATCGCGGCAACATCAACTTCTTTGATGGGAGCAACTTTCCTCTCAAGCGTCAGTGATTTGCACTGTTTGGGCTGTGTCTTCTTCTTGGTCAATCGAGCCACGCGCCAACAACGTCAGAGAATTCACAACTGATGACTGAATTGAACGCTTGACCCTTGCTCGTATAGCGCCGCAAAACGACCGAAACACACACAAAAAAAGAAAAAAAATATGGCGGACAAGCAACAAAGAGTAGCGACACTCGAATCGAGACACCTCTTGGAAACATGAAACTGACGACGACCGAGGAGGAAGGGAACGGAAGAACCCAGAGGCAAAGAGAAAATGAAAGGCAGAGAGGAATAAAAGGCTCAAGGAAAAGGGGACACCGAACGCCAAGCATATCGGCTTGCGATTAGCTTGTCCAAATAGAAGTCGTAAAAACAAAAAAAAAACAAAAAATTGAAAAAAAAAATAAGACAACAAACGTTCTTGAGTCGCGTCCGTTCCGCATCCTTTCCGCGCCTCCGTAAACCGCACCCGCGGTTATCTTTCTGTTTTGTTTTCTTGCGCTTGCGCGTTTTCTTTCTTTTTTTTCTTTTTTTGCGCATGTGCGTTTTTTTTTTGCACGCTGTGTTTTTAGCCGTGTTCGAGTTAACGAGGTATTACTGTAGTACCTTGTCCCACGGTGCACGAGTCTGCAATGTTCTTTGTGTTCACCATAATGAGTTGCAGTTTGAGCAACTTGTTGTTTAGCTTAGCACAGGAGCAAGAAAAGCTTTGTTATGATTCCACGGAACAGATATGTGCTCCATGAAAAGGATATGTGAATGCGTGACTTCTCTGCAAAGGCTTGACTTGACCCAATTCTGTGCTTGGCCAGTTCACCAAAAGGACAGTTGTTCATACGTACAGCATTATTTGTGGCTTTTAGGAGAGACCGATGGATGAGGCTTGAAAATATGGTTGAATCTCCGACGAGCGGTGTGTTGTGCCTAGCTCTCATTCCAGACCCAGATAGTGCCACTTGGTGTTACGTCTGAAGAAATGAGAAGGAAGTCAATCTATTTCTTTGTCTCCGTCGCAGCCCCCGAGGTGCTTGGAGCTCAGCCGTATTGCCACGCGGCTGACTGGTGGTCCCTGGGCGTCATGATGTACACCCTGCTTGTGGGACGCGTGCGTCTGCTTCCCTTCCTTGTTGCTTCTGCGGTCATTGCGTGTCTGCGTTACAGCTTCCCAGATCTCTAAAGGTTGCTCCTACAGAGTAATCAAGTTACGGCTGCTCCAGCTAATCTGTAATGAAGTTAGAGACTTAATTACAAGATGTACCTAGTTAAAGTTACAATAGTCCGCCAAAAAGGAACCGCCACATACTATGTTTCAGTCACTTTTAATGTGATGTCGAAGTGTACTAAGATCTCTCTTACCAACAGTTTGATTGCTGACAATGAAAAAAGGTTATTAGCACGGTTTTGTTATGATTCAACACTCTGCTCGATGCGGAGCTTGATGCAACGAGGGTGCATAGCTTTGATGTTAAAGGGGCACTGACACATCAAAATCGTAATTTATTTTATTATCCGAAACGATTGAAAATGATGCCGGGACACCCTCAAAATTCGAAACTTGGGAATTCAGTATTTGTGAATTAAAAAAACAATTTCCAAATGCCGAATTTGAAGTTCCCGCGCGATCCGCGCCAGTGCAGCGAGTCAAATTTTGCGGTCTCCTGCGACTCGACTTCCTTTCGGACCTCCGCACCACGCTGTGAAGCAAAGCGCTGTTGCTACCACGACCCGAAGAGAGGAGGAGGTGAGCAGGCGGGATAGAAGGGAGCCGGCGCGGGGAAAAACCGGTTTCTTCCAGGACTCGGCGATAAGGGCGATGAGCCTCTGCTCGAGCGCCACCAAGGTTTCCGAGGGAGAACACAAATCCAGGAAGCGACATCACACCGAAATCTGATTTTGGTATTTCAAAAAGAAAGGTCGTAGTGCGTTCGTCATTGCGTTAAAAAACATGTTTTACGATTGCCGTTACTAAATGTTACAGAAATGTCGCCTACAAAGCTTCTAAATTTCCTGATTTTTGACGTCACCGATCAAAAGAAGCAAGGAGGTGAGCGCGGGAAATATAAACGCCAAAAATAAAAAGGCACGCGCGCGCGGGGGGAAATTTTTTTTCGCGATGCGTTTTTTTTTGCGTGTCTATGACTACAACTTGCGTCGTTTTAGACAATAAAAAAGAATACGACCTTTGGGGTGTCAGTGCCCCTTTAAGACTACATCAATGTGCATTTTTTAGCATATTAATAATACTGTAGAATACCATGCATCTGCCCATCCTGCTTTAAGCTCCCATCCCCAAAATTTCAGACATCTGAAAAAATATGCACAGCACATATGTATATATAAAATTGATGACCTCACATGCACCCATGCCCTATTTTTTTGCGGTTATCTTCAAATTTGGAGTAGGTGCTTGCTCGGTATTTTACGGTAAGTTACAGTTACAAGATTTCACTGTGACGTGGGAGGTGTTCAGTGAAATTGTAGCCGATTGCAATAACCTAAATGCTTTTAACTACCGTATTTACTCGAGTAATAGCCGCACCGTTTATGAGGAAAACCTGAGGGTTCGCTTTTCTGCGGAGCATACGGCTTGCCAATCACCGCGATCGACAGCATGGTAACGTCTTTGCGCAAAGATACCATCTGTGAAGATTGGAATTGTATGGAGAATCATGTACTCAGTGTAGTTTTTCGCTATGTTATTTATGCTCAACGCGATGATTGGCTGTATATGTGATTTACGGGAAAGCAGATGCAAGGGCCTTGTTCATAAATAGTGCGGCTATTACTCGAGTAAATACGGTAAATAGTTGCTCGGCAGCTCTGGGTAGATGTCAATACCTTTCTAACGATGTGCTTTTCCTGCTTGTGAAACTTGCTTTATTGTCGGTACAGTTGAAAGTTGTTTTTACTAAGCCCAGTTTTACGAAATTCTCGATTTAACGAAAAAAATTCTAATTTCCCTACAGATTCCCATAGGGCTCCATGCATTTATGAACTCAAAGTAACTAAAAACATGAGACCGTCAACTCAATCTACCAAAGCATTCAAGTAAAAAAATAATGCTAAAAGAGGTAATTTCAGGCGTATCGTGTTAAGAATATGCGTGAAAGATTTTTGCTGGCAGGCCGACAAAGATTGCGCCACCCTACATTTGTTCTTACGAAAAAAAAAAAGACTCAATACTTTTAGTCAATTATACCAGGTGGCACCAGCTGTTTCATTCATCATGCTGGATGCTAGATATTTTAAAGAGACGACACTGCCGTGGGTTTGTTCTAGCAGTGACTTCTGCGTCGCCGTGGAATGAAACCCCGAAGAAAAAGAAGCGTACAACCTCAAAGAAAATGCAGAAATCAATGAAAAAAAACTATTTCGCATCTCTCGGGGGTGTATGAACTTCAATGCGAGCCCCGGCTAACCCTCGCAAGGGCACGGAATGTGGCGTCAGATAAAAAATCTTAATTTGTTTCCTCAAGGGCTCTAAGGCTTCCTTCACGCACTAGTGGTACAGGCTTTCTTCACAAACTAAATTCACATGCATGTAAATCACATTTTCAGCATGTGAGCACTGCGGGAATGTGGTATCGCAATAGATCTCTGAATGCCATTACATTAAAAACAAGGTTTATTGAATTACATGCCCGAAAAATGTCATTTTTGATTAACTAAGTAATTTGCAGCTTCTCTCACCTTTGTCAGAATGAGTTTTAACTGTACTACTAGTCTTATTTGTGTTTACAAATAGCTGCAATCTTTCATACGAGGTAATTATGGGAGAAAGTTGAAGTGCATGTTTCAGGTACACTGCTACTTCACTATATTGCATCACTCTGCAGTACCCTGTGGAGCCTTGCAGAGACCATGTGCAGATGAAGCAGCTGGTGGCAGAGACAAGCTACGAGCTCCCCAAGGGCTTCTCCGACCCCGCCAGAAAAGTTGTTCGCAAGGTGCGCTTCCCTCTGCTTTTTTTTTTGCTCGGGATGCCTCGTAGAGAAGCAGCCTGCCTGCGGCTTGTCCTGGAAAGTTTCGGCTGGACGCAATCTCTGGCGGATAGCTGTACGTTATGGTAGCTTCGCCGTGCCAGTAAGGTTACCATGGTGACAAGCACACTTCAACTTTGAGCGCTATTCTGGCGGCAACTGACAAACTTTCTTGTGATGTAGTGCCAAATGGAACAGTCTGAGCAGGGGAAGCCTCGAGGCCAAAATCGCCTCTGGACTAGGTACAATGTAGCAATTTTGCCACCCCCTGGCCTACGCTGCATAGGGACTGCCTTTCAGTCACTAGATGGCTCCTTTGGTTTAGGTGTCAAGCATAAGCGCCAACTACGGGGGGGCAGTGGGGCTCGTGCCCCCCCCGGACGGCTTCACGGGGGGGCAGAGCCCCCCCCGGCCCCGGCCCGGGATTTTTTTTAAAGAGCTTGGCTTGGGTCTGCGCCCATCGACAGTGGACTGTTGGCCGTCCTGACTGGCAGCTATTTCACAGGGGCCTGTTTATTCCCACTTCTTATTTCCTTTCAGGCTTTTAAATGGTGGATCTCGGGACAGTGACAGGTCAGACATTCAGTGGAAAATTCCCCTCAGACGGAGTTAGATGCGCGGAATATGTTGTCTGAATGAACAGCTGAAGTGCCCGCTTCAGCTATGACAGGCTAAAAAAAGTCTTGAAAGCGTCGCGACATCTCTGTCGGTTTTTAGACAACAAAAATGCTTCTGAGAATAGGAAGCATCCCCGACACAGTGAGTCAGTGACTGATTCTGCAGACCTGCTCGCCAAGAAAAAAATTTTAATTTCTTGCGCGTCTACAAATGAATGCCCTTTCGGCCAAGAAAATATTGTACACATTTTTGATTGGTCAGTGAAGGGCTTTACTACCAGTCTTGTCACCGAACAGCGACTCGAATACTCGTCCAGAAAACAACTTTTGGCGGAAAAATTTGTAACCCCAGCTTCGCACAAGGTATAGTTTTTTTTTAATTGTAAGCGTTTTGTAACCGTTGCATTGAGAATTGCTCAACGTGTGCCTCGTGTGTCTGTTCATTATAAATGTACCACACGAAAATAAAAATATTAAAATATTTTGGTTACAGCAGATTCATTTTCTCCTGTTCACCATTTTCAAAATTAACACTTTTGGTGCGCCTGCGTATCCACTCGGGGAGTTTGGTACTATATGGGCATCTCAAAATACACTTTACACACAAAATGGCCCGCAAAATTTAGATCCTTGGTGCAACAAGTAGGAATATTCCTGAAATATGTGTTTTACTGGTCACATTTATGCAACAAAATTTTAGACCCGAACTACCCCTGCAGAAAAAAAAAAGATTCGCTTTTTTGTACTGGTAGTTTAGTCTTGCAATATGTTTGCATAAATGTGGCCAGTAAAACACGTATTCAGAGAAATTTCTACTGGATGCGTCAAACCGCTGAAGTTTCCGGGTCATTCTTTTGCGGAGCGTCTTATTTGGGGACACCAGGTAGTTAGCTGTCACAATGTCCGTGTCAGTTTGTTTATGTCCTTGTCCCTTTTTCTCCAGTCTCGGGTTTACCAAAATGCTCGGTAAAGGCTCCGACTGCTGCAGGTGACCCTTATGGGGAGAACCCACGGAACAAATAAAACAAGGACCTTCTCCTCCTCTCCCCCCCCCCCCCCCCGCAGCCTCCCCCCCCCCCTTTTTTTTTGAGCCACATTCCGGGTCTGCCCCCCCCCGGGAAAATGGAAACTCTACGCCGCTGGCGTCAAGTGCTTATTGATTGAATCATTCAATCAGTGACTGTTTTGACAGTCACCTCGCGTCATCATGCGAAAAAGGTGGCGATAAGTATGAAATGCCCGGCCGGCAGAATTGCTGCAGTATCGACGGTCAAGTTACGATTTTGATCCTGAGCAAGCAGCCTCTTCTGCTCGATCCGTTCCATTGAGCACTGCGTCGTGGAGTAATTCTTGAGCTGCTGCCGGGAGAGCGTCCCTACGAGATAAGACATTGTCCGTCTGTTCCAGACAAGTTTGGTGAGCAGTACACATAAATACGTTTGCTATACATAAGTTTTACTATAAAGAGGACCTACTATAGTTTATTCAGTGGTGTTATATTTTGCCCACGGACATGTGGATGTGAATCGTGCCTCTGGGTGGCATTTCTAATGCTTTTGTTTGGGGGAAGACAACTATTCAATAAGTTTTTCCTGTTGAAGTCGGTCCTCCCCTTCCTCGCTCGATCGCAGCTGCTGTGCAAGCTGCCGCAGAAGCGCCTCCAGTCGCTGCACCAGCTCAAGTGGGAGCCTTTCTTCAGGGAGGTGAACTTCGACGACGTGCTCCACAAAAGGGCAAGTGTCTGCTCTTGCGGGTCTTTCTTTGACAAAGTTCGCAACACATGGGGTCGAGTAATGACTGATGGGATGTTGCATGAATTGAACTTTTTGGAGCGCAGCTCTTAGGCGCCCGTTCCCGGCTTGAGCGGCGTCGCCGTCGGCGTAATTGCGCAGTGCATTATGGGACGCGTGACGTCACTGATGACGTCATCAGTGACAATGCCGATGCCGATGACATCACTGATGGCGTCGTCAGTGACGATGACGTCATAGTGATGATGACAATGACGTCATCAGTGACGATGACGTCATCAGTGATAATGATGTCATTAGTGACGTTACCGCTGATGACGATGACGTCATCGTCGCGTGACCTCACTGGGGTCACATGACGCCACGGGGGTAACGTGACCCCGTGAGGTCTTGGACTCCGGTGACGTCACGTGACCCTCGTGAGGCGACGCCGCTCGGAGGGAGGAGTAGCAGACAGGATGAGGAGGTGAGGAGGAGGGAGGAGGGGTATACCCTCCCCTCAGTACCCTTCCCCCCTCCTCCTCAAGAGCTGTGCTCTAATTCGGCGTTACAGGGAGTAGTAAACGGTTTTCCTTTTTTATTTTATTTTTTTTATAATGGGTGTTTCTAGTTGCAACTTGTCTTAAAGTGTAGTATACATTGGCCTAGCTGCAGGCACTGGGCACGTATTAGGGTGTGGCAGTGACTGACTCTTTGGAAAAACCGTGGGATGCAATATACCGTATATATATTGGTGACTCCAACGAAATCTACATGCAGCAACACGGAGAAGCTCTGAGAGAAGGTTGTTTTTCCTCTGTAAAATGCTGTCGCTGCTTGGTTCTCTAGGCAGCGTAGCTTTATGACTCTTTTATTATTAAGATCAACTAAATCATCGCGGCTCATCGGTGTCGCAACAAAATATGGGATGAACGGGGACGTGAAAACATCCTAGTGGTGTGCAATTTCCCTCATCCGCGGCAAGAAAAACGACACCATCCCGCAGAACGTGTTTTCGCGCAAAACTTGTCCACCCACTCCAGACCCACGGACTGGAGTAGGTTTAAAAAATTAAAATTGCAGTAAAAGTCACCTCAAGAAAACAAAAACATAAATGAATGCTTAGAAATTGTCTGTCTCTGTTCTTTTTTTTTAAATATTTGTTAGTCAAAATGAGTATCAGAATCCTATGCATTTAAAACATCAGCCAATTCAAATGTTATGACATTGTTATCATATTTGATTATGATTTCGTGTTGGTGGATGCAAAAACTCGTTCTCACACCTGCCAGATACTAATTTACGCGAAGACCTTATTTTTGTAAATCATGTAATTTCACTAATTAAAAAGTTAATTAACAAATTTTAATTAATTAGCCGACTTATCGCAAGGACTAGCCACCCACGTGATGTCCCCCTGGCCTTATAACTCACCTGCAAAAACAGCATTAGTGCATTTTTTATGAATGTTTTGTAATAAACCTGTTCTAATTAAAAGGAACACCTGGGAATTCATATATATTTATGTAATATATATTATATGTTGCATAAATAGATAAATAAATATATATTATTTTATATTTAGGATGACCTCAAGGGCTATAGCTTGTTATGTTGGTTCCCGGTTCTTATGACTCCCAAGACGCTCAAGTAAAACTATAAAACATCCTGCCACATCAAATTCAGTTATGAATTGTTGCAGGTGGAAAACCTTTAAACCATTTTGCCAAAGGTGTTTGAATAAGGTTGTAAAGCAAGTAATTCTAATTTTATGTTACGGGTATGGCATGGATGGTCCTTTTTAGAATGGCTCTCATTATACTTCTCCCGCTCTAGCTGAAACTTGCCCTAGTACAGTATATTCTGTTGAAGTAAGGTTCTTGCCATGTGGCAGGTACCTTGTTTTTGTATTTTCTTTAGCTACTGCAGTAAAAGATGCACATATATTGAGTGTGTGGTTTGACAAGCCCTGTTGTGAAACTACATTTCTGAACTAAACTTACTCTGAGCTTTGAGAGCATGCACCCGATACAATGGTTTAAGAATCCGGACCATCGTGTTCAGAACATGTCACTATTCTCTTTCAGATCTCCCCAAAGAAAATACTCGAGTCAGAGCAGAACTCAAGGAAAATGGGCCCGTGAGTCATTTTGTTTGGAGGGGGGTGGGGAGAGTGACTATGAAAAGAGCTGCCATGTCAAGGACGGGGCATACATTCTTCTAGGGGCGAAGCTCCTTAGGGTCTAGCCTTGTCCGTCCGGCGTCCATGCTCACATCGATCTTGGTGGTGCTCGTGCTCATGAGCTGACATGCTCACGTGCTCATGTAGAGCAAAAAAATAAAAAATGTTTGCGCAGTCGACAGGATTCAAACCTGTGTGGGAGACCCCAATGGATTTCTAGTCCATCGCCTTAACCTTTCCCCCTTTCACTTAGGGCAATTCAGTCCTGCGGTTAATGTATTTTATACCAAAACGAGTTGTTGTAGTTTGTGCTCTTGAGGCACCGCTGCCGTACTAGCGTCGCTCCCCTTCCCTCCCAGGACTCAAAAAGGACCAGCCGAGTCTCAAGAGGGACCGGTCCAGGCGGTGAGTCGTTCTGCTTGCAGGATTTGTTGCGGCACGGTCCTCGGATGCCTCTTGTCTGGAAACTTTTCGTCAAGCTATGGGCAAGCCTTCACTAGCAACGAACTTTACCACCAGGGGCATGCTTCCAGCGTTACGTGGCAAACCAACGAAGTCGGATGAGAAGCATGTGATGAGACCTAGAAAGATATCCATATTTGCCCTAAAAGCTCGCATACAAATTGAAAAGACTCCGTGGCTTTGTTTATGTCATTGCAACTAATTTCTTTGTGTGAAGCAGTGTCCTTTGTCACCATGCGTGTTCTTTATTACTGGATCTTGAACTTGAGTCGTTTCTATCATTATGAATGAGTTTTTTGGGAAACGGAAGTGTTTTTATTAATGAGACACGACGCTATAGAGGACTTTTTCTGAAAAAAGTAAGATTCTTTTGAAGTTTTTCTACTTCATACTACAGTCAGTGACAGCTATGCCAGGAAACTTTACTAAGGCAGAAAACAATGGGGTTACTAGACCAGAGGCATCTGAATAAGGAGTATTCACTGGCGGCCATAGCTGTGTGTGCAACTGATGAGCGCATGGTGAGTGAGAGCTTCCGCAGATCTTTTGCAACGTGCATTTTGCACCATCAAGATTCCCAGTCTTAGCGGGCTAATAATGTGAGCTTGTTCTGAGCATGCGCTCTGAACATCGCCCTCAATTATTGCGCCTAGTGAATACCCTCTATACCGTGGTTGTAACGAATGGAACTTGGAGTGATTATAACATTGCCTCGTTGACATTGCAGTTTGCCGGATTTTCGTGCATAGTGGAATCCTGAAGGATCCTCTCGGGGAAAAGGAAAGACAGCGAAAGTTTACAACCGGACTTTTCACTTGTCAAGTGCCGAGAAGAAGCGCTGCTTGTAGGGATTTGGCTCCCTGAAAGTTCAATGCTGGAACACGTGTGCCAAAAACCCAAACAAGACTGCACGAAATTTGGGACTCGTTAAAATTGTTCCAAACTATTTTGGAAACATTTGGTGTTTTAAGGAACAAAACGTGAGGGTGCAAGTGAGCTGGTGTAAGTTTATGATTGTAGAATTACCCAGACTTGAGACTTCTTTTCTTGTTCCTGTCGTTTTTCTGCCGTCACTGCAATCTCGGGTAATTCTACTATTATGGGAGTTTTGCTGCTTGCAAATTGCAAATGTAGTTTTGTTAAAAGCATATTTATGATTTTTGTATATATGGTAAATACTCGAGTGAGGTTGGGTTTTAGAAAATTGATCTAAAACTAGATATGTGCATTTTAAATTTTGTGCGGTTTGGTTGATTTTTTTTTCACGCGTGTTTCCGCTTTTAGAGTGATCATGCGAAACACAACATAGGAATGGCAAGGGTTTTCAGGCACCTACTCCTAAGCTTGGGAAGTATGCACAGCCATCATAGCAACACCACCTAGGAGACAAGGCCTTTCCCCCTTGAATGTCATCACCAGCAGATCCACGCAGTGCAACATGGCTCGATTCGACGACGCCGCTAGTGCATCTCGCAGAGTCTCCCAACGAGCGCGACGCTAGCATGCGGCAACGCCATGGAGAATAGAAGGGTAGGAGAGGGCATGACGTCGGCCGCGTAGCCTCCGCAAGCCATGCTCCCTTGACGCCTCGCCTCTTTCTCATTTTCCTCCTTACGCTCCTCACTTACCTTGCCAACGTGACCACATTACGTGACCGTAGCTCGCCTTCGTCTTGCTATGGGGTACTAGAATACACCACAGTCTAGACTTCGATCTGATAAAACCTACCGGACGGAGCGCGCGCAAGCCTGCGAGGAGTCCTTCTACAATGAACCATCCATCTCACACGTGACATGTCACGCGCACCAATCGCCAGAGAGATCTGCGGTCACGCTGGGCACAAAATCGTTTAAACTTTTTATGACTAGGCTTCACCAATATTGCAACGTGCCCCCTCCTAGTACTTCTAACCTCCTTGGGCAACGCCGACACGGACGGGTCGTCTGCTTTGCGGCAACTCGTCGCGCTTGGGTACGTCTGCCACAATCGAAGCGGGTTGTGGATCCGCTAACGACGACGTTGTGCGCAGGCCTCGTCTTCTAGGCGGTAGTATTGATCATAATTGCATGTGAGCAATTCTGCTCCATTGACTGGGGTGTGAAAGGTGCCCTCGATCATCAGTGGCACCGTTTTGAATCGACTTGCGGGGATATTTACATAAGATCCAAGCGTGTTTGCAGCATCGGCGTAACCGACGGGCGAGACCATCCGTCGGAATTTTATCGAGCGTCCGAGATGCTCAACTCCTCAAACTGTAGTCATATTTTGCTGTTGGGACTTTCTAGTGGAAATGTTGTTACGGCCTTCTTCCGAGAAGCAGTTCTTGTATTCTCGAGTGTCTCCGGTCCGTCCAGCTTTAAAAGTCCGTCCAGGCGTCGATTTACAACCGCGAGTAACCCAACAACTGGAGCTACAGTTATGGATGCCTTTTGTCTTCTGTAGACTGAACAAATTGTGGGCAGTTTTGGGCTCCTAGTAGAACGTGGTCAAGTTAGGCTCTGGCCAGAACTGGGGTTTGACGGACCACCATTCTAGTTTGGTTTCTCTGAACTGTGTCCTTTCTGTACCACTGGCCACCTTGTGCTTTTGCACGAGGGGGCACTCTCGTGGAAAAGTTCCTCCAGAGTCCTTCAAATTGGTCACGAAACTTCGGTCGAAGCTTGGCACACGGTCGATAGCCGCTACTAAAGGCGCCACTGTCTCCGAGGGGGCATTTTTGTTTGGCAGCCCCACTCTTGGTGCGCCACACCAAATTCGTGATTACAAGTAGTTTTTAAAAACAATTTCCCGTAAATCGAAGCTTTGTTACGCCTGAATTCGGTTAGCGTATGCAAGCACCGGTCATTCTTTATTGATCTCTATTGAGAGAACTCACAAAGAAGCTTTTTTTTTTTTTTTCAGTTGTTTTCAAAGAAATCGACGCTTTTGCGAGCAAAAATAATTAGCTAGGCAATTGAGCCTACTGGTTCGCAGTGCCTCTACTAGATGGCGCTAGTCGCAGCACCGAATATTTTTGATGAAATTATTGAAAGGCCATTTTGAGAAAAAGGAGAAAAGAAAGAAAAATTTTAATCAGATTGTTGCAAATATATGAGATTCAGGAGTTGATTGAGTGTACAGAGTGAAGGACGCTTTCATTAACTAGAAACACTGTCAATGCGATGGTACATTATCTTAATTTATAGGTGGCTCGTTCAGAGTGGGTTTGAAATTCTGACACACTTGGGGTTTGCCGAAATCCCAGCAGTGCAGGCTAGTTTGGCGGCGTACGGAGAAGTTCCGTGACCAGTAGCGTATTGAAGGACTCGGTTGCACGTTCTAATCCGTCCCATCTTGCCCAAAGGTCGTCTTGACTCACTTCGATGTGCAGTATTTTTTGTATGTGGTGTCCTCTTACAAGTGTGTGTCTGCATTAGGCAGGAGTGGTGCTTTGACCTGACTGATAATCTCCCCATTGTGTTCTCTGGGACAACTGTATTCTTTGACTGAGAATCTTTGTTACTGTAACTGTGGCGTTAAAACAAGGTGCCTGCCAAGAAAAAGAAATTGCGTTCTTCTCGCTGCAAAAATAAACTATACAGTGAAACCCATTTAGAACGAACCCACATACAGCGAATTAATGTCAATATCGAACTCGCGGAAAATTTTAATAAAAATGGATGTAAAAAGTATGTTTTATAATGAACAACAAATTGGCTATATCGACCTTTTTCCTCCAGGAAAGCTTCCAAAAACGGGCAAACAATCGCCTTCTAGCTTGTCCCTTCCAAAAAAGAAGTAGGAAAGAAAGAAAATTCAAAAAGCTCAAGTTGCGAACAAAGTTCAGCGAAGAAAAGCGATTCAGAAGGGGAGAAAGCTAAAAAAACACACTCTGAACACACGAAAAAAAAAAAAAAATCTTTTTATCCTAAAGCGTTTGCCCACGAAGAGAAGCGAATCAGAAGGAGCGATAAGTTAAAAAAAAAAAAATAAACTCTGCGCACAAACAACAACAACAAAAAACTTTAGCGCGTTGTTACAAGGCGGAAGTCAAGAGATGAGATAGAAAGAGAGGCTCTCGCCTTACAACGAACTCATCATGGAAGTTTGTTATAAATGTTTTTTGCTCTATCGAACTGATCGTAGCGTTTCCTGCTGTCCGTTATAAACGGGTTTGACTGTAGTATTTCTTGAATGTAGTTCCTAGTGGTTGGGCTGAGATGGAAATCCTTTAGGGAATAACATTATCTAATACCAAAATCACAAGCCTATTTTAGAAATTCCATCTTAGCGAGACAAAAGGTGTCAAAAATGAACCCCGTTTTCTTAGTGAAGATTACCGAACGTCGCTCTTAACTTTTTAATCGGATGATGCCAGTTTATGAACTGCCACGTCATCCTAACCACTGTAACTACATTTGGTTTCTTTTCCAGCATTTGGCAATGCATATCAGTTGTTTCTTTTTTTCCCAAAAACTGTTGTTTCATTTTCAAGGCAGACACCCTGAACTTTTGTGCCTGCGTGCACACTCTGACGTTGGTGTGGCATTAATTATTTATCTTTTTATTTGAACCTTATTATGGATCTTGATTTTCAGTTTGAATTTATTATGTTGTCTTCTCTAGTGTTCTGTTTGTTTTAATAGTCAGCATAGTAGAATATTCTGCATTTGAGCTGTGAAAAAATATTTTCCCTCGGTATAGTGTATTTTAACTTTTATGGTCTTTATAACGAGAGCCGAACTTGGGTGGGTTTTTTTAACGAGGATTTCTAAGCATATTAGTATACTCCATAATGTAAGATACGATCAGTAATGGCTCGATTATATTTCAGAAATGCTATGGACAACCATTAAAGCATTTTTAAGTGTTGAGTTTTTCATATGACATTTACAATGAATGTTTACAGTGTTTGTCGCCAGTCATGATTTTATTGGCTGTACTTCTGCTCCCAACCTCGCAGTCTGTGGAAGTCACCCGATGTCCGATAGGCACCTGGGGTACAAGCCCTGCTTGTAAACTACAACTAATCATACTTTACATGCACCCTTCGTAACAATGGAAGGAAATTTAGCCTGGGCAAACAAAGCACTATCTGTGACGTCTCGACCAAAACAGAGCAGAACGACTCTTCACCGTGTCAATGAGTGTGGAGTTTACTGCACCACTCATTGCAGTCTCTGTTCTTCTGATCCGAGGATAGAAAACCCATAAAGGCTGGTTGACACATTTGCGTGCCATCGACTGTGTTGCAATAGCTTGCGCCATTTGTCGGATAGCTCTGGAAACGCTTCTGATCCGCGACTGAAGATTTTGCGAGATCAAATCTACGCGCCAATTTTTATTGTCAGAATGATTTCAAATTTATGACGACACCGTTGTAGAAATAACACGCTACCTCGATCGCGGAAAACGGGGCTCGAAGATTCCCGGGATGAAACAATGTGCACATTAGGCACATTGTTTTTTTTTTTGAAAAGGGGGGGAGGTAGGGGTGGGGGGTTGACCACTACAGCTCAATGGAGATGCGGGATCTAGCTTCCTTTGTTGGGGGAGTGCCCGCGGTCTCTTGAGCACGTGCTCAGGTACTTTTATACCTCCTAACCCGTGATTTCCGAAAATGGTCTATTATGCCTTTTTTTTAAAAATGAGGAAACATGCGCAGATCGCAAAGGTTTCGAGACAACCCGACAGATGGCGTCAGTCTCGTCGTAAGTGGTTGCAAGGCAGTCAACGACAAACGTAAATATGTGGAAGCAGTGCCGTAACCTGCGGGAAAGCTGTTGCTCCACCTCCAGCGTGACCTTCCTGCCATCGATGATTGCGTCTATTAATGGCGTCTCGCGAGGCTCAAGGGCTCAAGCGCGCACACGCATCCAGAGCACCACGGAAGGCACGGTGCTCTGGGCATCTGAAAGACACGGTTCGTGCTCCTCCTGTCAGGGAATGGAATCCAGTGTTTCTACTTTTGTGTTTATTGAAGCGAGCTCATTTTAAAAAAGTCCCATTTGTATTGATCCAACTATCAGCGAAGCTTGTTTTTGCAATGCTGCTAAAATAGGACAAGTTGCTGAGGTGCTAAGGCAAGTGGCGCAATTGTTGCCGTTTGTTTCAGTCATGCATAGTTTGCTCAATGGGTACCTGAAGCATGTTGCACGAAGCTATTTTTGTTTGTTTGTTTTCCATTGAGAGTAGCCTAAATTTGGAAATTGTACGGGCAGTGCAGCTTCATAATTCGTTAAAGGGGTTATGACACGAAAATTAAACGGATAGATTATTCTTGAAATGGAATGCTCATAGGCTACTTAGTATATGCACCAAGTTACGCAATTTTTAGAGCTCTGATAATTGCAATATTCAATTTACGAATTTTTATAATTTTCATCTGGCGACCAGGCAACACTGCTCAAGTTAGTCAAACCATGGTGTCCATAAACCACGTGACCATGAACACTCTCTCATTCTAGGCGCCCCCATGATCGCCCAAGCTCTTCTCGTCGCGGTACGAACAAAACCGCTCAAACAGCTCGGTAAAC